CACAGTCCCAGATCCCGAGCTGTAGTTTGTTTGCTAGGAGTGGCCGGCAGCACTGGAGTTCTGGCACTGTGAAGCCGCTGTGCGCCTCTTTATCCTTCTGCTCCACTGCGGCAGGGTTATGGCGGCGTTTGGGGGAGTGCTCGAAAGGATTGGGTTTTCTCAGCCCCGATCTCGGGTTGGGGTACAGACAATGTGGTCTGTGGCAGATTCTGCTGGACACCTCCTGCCTCCTCCAAAGAGGGAATAGGGATTTTGAGCTGGGCGCGCAGCTGCAGTCAGTGCGCGGCGGGAGCTCAGTTGTGATGGTGGCAGGTACCCGTGGTTGGAGAGACCTTCCAGGGAAAGACTGGGTGATCGGTGACCAGTCTGGCAACTTTCCTTCCCCGTGGGGTTTTTTGCGACTGGGACTCCCAGCCTTAGGCCCCCTTGTGCCCACCAGTCAGCCTGGGAAATTGATCGTGACAAGCAGGCTTGCGGCACCAGCCCGGAGACCCAAAGCCCGAGTTGGCGGGTTCTCTTCCAGGTTCTGGCTGGGCAGCCAAGAGTGGACCCGACCGATTCCCACGCTGTGGGAGCCTCCCCTCACCTGGGAAACAGGATCGATCGCTGTTGTTTTAGGGCTCAGAGTTCAGTCTCCTGGTCGTTGCACGGAGTATGTTGTCCCGCTTCTCAGACACGGTGTTCTCCCGGTGCCGCCATCTTGGCCCCTCCAACACTAAGTGTCTTAATCATAGTTCACCGACCTGTTTAGTTTCCACCCCTTTCAACCTTTACTCCAAGATAGGGAAGCTTTATTTGCATGTGCTGTCCTAAAATGCTGTATATATCTTCCCTCATCAGATGAAGGATGATATTATTTGAATGATTTATAATCTACCCAGTCTTCTGAAATCTAAAGCATATATTAAATGGAAATAAGAATAGAGTTTTGATTTTTTTTTCTGTATGCAAACCTAAACAAGGTACCTCATGGCTACTTATGCTATCTTGCTGGCACTTTTTACTCTCCAGTTGAGTGGGAAAAATTCTGATGAGAATAAATACCATTTCCAAATTTGATTTGTGCGTGTGTTCATGTGTGTGCACCTGAGTTGCTAAGGCTATCTATCTATCTATCTATCTATCTATCTATCTATCTATCCATCCATTATTTGAGAGGGAGTTTCTTATTGGACCTGGAGCTCCCCTGCCTGGCTGACCTGGCTGGTCAGCTAGCCCCAGGAATTCTCCTGACTCTATCTCCACAAGCAAGTGTTACAACGTCTTAGGGATCAACGTCAGTCAGGACAAGCTAGCTTTCCAAACCCCTGGTTTTCCTTTTAAATAAAGTCTCTCTCATTAATCTCAGCAACACTTTCTTATTATTTAAGATGATAGGATAAAAATTGTGAGAAAAATCAGTTATTCAGAGTAAGGACAACACCTGAGGTATATGTGAATCCATTCCTAAGTCCCCAGGAATGCTAAGCCACACAGCTTTATTCTTGTCCACTGTCCTAACTGGCAGGTGTTAAGACTCCTTCGGAACCGGCAGGTTTGGGCTGTTGGCTTTTCACTAAAACTTCTTGGAGCTCTATGACAGCCTTTGGCATCATGCCACCATTCTACAGTGAGGGAGGCTGTGCAATGATGAGGGTTCTAAGCCCTAGAGTTCAGAGGAGCTAAATATCATTTGCACATTTATACTCTAAACTAATGTGGAGAGCACAACTCAGTATGGAAACCCACCCTCTTTCCAAAGACTTTTGGAAAAACCTTTCCGGGCCATGCAAAGAGTAACTATTCTGCCATTATGTTGTGAATCATGTGGAATGAGGTAAGCAAATACTTCTTGGAATACTGAACTTTTGTTTTCTGTTTTTCTTTTTGTATTCACACTAGATAGCTTCAACCTAAATTTAAGACCCATTTTTGTGTACTCATCTCACTCAATCTTTGTATGTTTTCCTGCAGTTTATTTTTTTCCAAGACAGGGTCTACATAGTTCTGGCTAGTTTGGACCTCACTGTATAGACCAGGCAGGGTTGGAACCCCCAGAAATCCACCTACCTCTGCTTCCTGAGTGCTGTGATTAAAGATGTGAGCTAACACAGCTGGCTTCTTACACACTTTAAAAAATTATTAATTTTTATTTTATGTGCATTGGTATTTTTCCAGCATGTATGTCTGTGTGAAGGTGTCAGATCCCCTGGAACTGGACTTACAGATAGTTATGAAGTGCCATGTGGGTGCTGGGAATTGAACTTGGGTCCTCTGGAACAACTGCCAATGCCCTTAACCACTGAGCCACATCCCCAGCCCTCTTGCACACTTTTAAAAGCATGTACTTATTGCATACAATGCTGGTTTCACTATGACATTTTCATGAATGTGTATCACACTCTTTAATTTTATTCACTTCCTACTAACCTCTCCTATCCTCCCACCCTTTCTCTTTTTATCAAGTAGGGACCCCTTCTAACTTTAAGTCCTTCTGTAACGTCTAGATTCTGGATATGAGAGAAAAATGTGCTATATCCATTTTTCTGCACTTTGCTTATTTTGTTTAATATGATGGATATCTAGTTTCAGCTATTATCTTGCAGATGACATGTTTTTGTTTTCTTAATATCTCAATAATACTCCACTTGTGTATACATATCACATTTTCTTTATCCATTCATTTCTTGATGGGCACTGATGCTGGCTGTACAATTTATTATTGCACACTTAACTTCAAAATGTATTATATTTTGTTGCTGATAAACTGCATGTATTTTATAAACACTATGTTTAATAGAAGTGGTTTAAGTGTCTGATGTGTATAGACAACAGAGACTTACATCGACCTCTCCTTTCCATTCCTCTCTCTTAACTTTGGCTGTTAGAAAAGACAAGGGTTGTGTTGAATAGGTCCTCACCCAAAAGAAAAGAGGCTCTCACCTTGTCACCCTTCCTGATGGTCCTGACCTGGAGCTTGCTGATGGCTTTCTTTGCCGCGTCTCCCAGTCGGCGCTGAAAAACAGAAAGCCGCTCGTTAGCAACAAAGAGGTGAGGTTCCTGTCTTACTTTTTTACAGCACGTCATAAACTAGGGCAGCTTTCTCTGAAATCATGCACACATGGCATGAATGTTAAGGGTGATGGGTGGAAGACAAAGCCTGGCATTTTCAGAGAATGGTTCTTTAAGGTCCATGAAACATTCAGTTGAAGGGAGTTCCTTGTTCCTGGTTTTAGGCTTGCATGACATACAGCATATAAAATAGAAACTTCCTAGCATGACTTCACATACTGCACAGACTGGCAACTAGAAAAAAAAAGTATTTACTAACTTGTTCAAATAGCTGGCTAATGTATGACTTGAGCAAACAGCCCTTCTTTTTCACCATTAAGGTCTTGGGTTTTCATGTGCCTTCAATTTGCTCATTTAGACCAGCTGATGCAGCCTGCAGTAGCCTTCTCCTTTATCCATGCATTTGAGTATGCTATACATGGAATGTAGGGATTGCCAGGTAAGCATGAGGATCTGAATGCAGAGTCCTAGGACCCCTGGAAGAGCTTCTGTGGTACCCCAAGTGTGTAACCCTAGAGCACACAGTGGTCACAGTGGATCCCTGGAGATCTCTGGCCCATCAGTCTAGCCAATTAGTAAGCTCCAGGTTCAGTGAAGAGCCTTTGTTTAAAAAAATAAAACAGATCAACAAAGAGAGGTCCATCTGCTTCTGGCCTCTACATGCTTTTGAGTTATTATGTGTGTTCACGCAAACATGTATGTGCACACACACATGAACATGGTACATTTACCACCTGCCTCCCCCACCACCATAGAATTTATCATTCAGGTTAGCATATAGTTGCAAATCACATACCTGGGGAACTATTATCGTCCCCATCAAGAAAGAATGCATCATACCCCAAGTTTACAGAGAAAAGTGCTGTCTTAATGAGCCCTGTAAGTGGTAAGGCAACGAAGAGAAGGGCACGGGAATGAAATTTTACTCCGTGTGCGCTTGCAAGTTTTCTGCAGGTTTTTGCCTGACTCTTAGCATGTGCACTTGTCTCGCAATACTGCATTTGCAGCAATGAAATGTATTTGAAGGATTCAAATCAACATGAATAAATTTTTCCTAATAATAATAACAATAGTGATGATGTTCAATTTTCTTCACATTACCTCTATCATATTTTTTTGAGGGGGAACCCCATGATTATTTATTTATTTATTGACCTATTTATTTATTTATTTATTTATATTATTATTTTGGTTTTGGTTTTTTTCCTTGTTTTTTTCTTTATTAATTACACTTTATTCACTTTGTATCCCCCCCCTGTGGTTCCCTCCCTTCCTCCACCTGCTGCATGCATGCCCCTCCCCAAGTCCACTGATAAGGGAGGTCTTCTTTTCCTTCCTTCTGATCCTAGTCAATTAGGTCTCATCAGGAGTGGCTGCATTGTCTTCTTCTGTGGCTGGTAATGCCACAGAATTTAAAATTTAAATTGCCTTTATCTTCTTGTAGCGCTGGGGATTGGACCCTACGGTTTCACGCACGCAAAGTAAGTACTCTCACTGTTGGGCTACATCCCCATACTTTTCTCGTTGAAATACTGGACATACTAGTTGTCTTAGTTACATTCTACTGCTGTGATAAGACACTGCTACCAAGGCAACTTATGGAAGGAAGGGTTTATTTGTGCTTGTGGTTGTAGAGGAAGAAGAGTCCACCACCATGGAGGGGAAACCCGGCAGTGGCTAGGCAGGGTGGCCGGAACAGATGGCACGCCTTCATCAGGAGGCAGAGAGAGGATGTGAGGAGTGATGCAAGGCTTTCCCTTCCCGGAGCTTACCTCCAGTGACATACTTCTTCCAGTAAAGCCACCCCTCCTAAGCTGCTCCAAACTGCGCCACCAACTGGGGACCAATTATTCTAATACCCGAGACTAAAGATACATCTCATTCAAACCGTTCCAGTGAACCCCACAGTGTCTGAGGCACCTGTGAAAGTGTTTTACTTTCTTTATCCTTCCTACAGCCCCAGAAGAAAAGTAATATTCTTCAGAAAGCACAGCTGTTTACAGAGCTTAGGGACACTATGTTACAACACAGCCAGTCATCAGTTCCGCCCTCCAGCTGGACCTCAAGACGCTGGCCATTCACCCTGCTTGCCAGCCAATCAAATCTAGTGAGTCCTTGTCAATCACTGTTAGCCAGCCAATTGACTCTTACAAATCACTTCTCTAGCATTTAAACAAGCATAAAGTGAGCAGTTCTTCATGATATTTCATTTTCCTCATTTGATATTTTGTCCTTACTTTTAAAAATAATTCGGCATTTTATTTTTATTCCAGTTTTTGTTTTTTGAACCAGGGCATCATGTGTATCTCAGCCTGGACCCCGACACACAGCGCAGCTGAGGACAGCCTCACTTCTAAGGCTTTCTCCTTCCTGAGTGTAGAGGTTACAGGCGTGTGCTGCCACCTCTGTGCTGTGCTGGATCAAACTCAGGTCTTTGAAATGCTAGGAAAGCACTTCTGCACTCTAATGACATTGCCAATCCAATGCTGGCAGAAAAGTAGGTTTTGGCTGTTTCCTAAAAGGAGAACTATGTATCTAAAATCTATGCAAAAGTCCATGAGTAGCTGGTAGACTGAAGTAGCAGGAAAACTCAATGGTGAAGACCGGGGAGAGGCAGGAAGGGGAGAGGAATTGGGAAGAATGGAGGGGAAGCTAAGCAGGACACACTTCTCCGTGTGCCCTATAGCTACTACTATAGTATCTTTTGTTCTTGGCTCAAGTAACTTCTTGAAGTAAGCACCTCCTAGCAAGATCCCCTGCTGCACACACTGGGCAGTGCCTCACAGGGCACAGCGCCATTGCAGTCCAGCATTTGCCTTTCTTCTCTTCTCTTCTCTTCTCTTCTCTTCTCTTCTCTTCTCTTCTCTTCTCTTCTCTTCTCTTCTCTTCTCTTCTCT